TGTGCGTGTGCTTGACCTCAACTACTGCCAACGGTATCGTCTGAAGACAACAGCAAGAACAACATGGACAAAGGAGGAGAAGGAGGAGGAGGAGGAGGAGGTGAACAAGGGGCACCACCACCGGCAGCAGCAGCAGTGCCCTCCCAAGCGAGTGTCACCAAGAAGCCGCCTGCTGACGATGAGGACTCATTCAAGACGGTCAAGTCGGAGAATCCGGCAAAGACGGAAGAGGAAGCGGTGGCTGCTTCCACAGACGCCACTCCCATTCCAAAGACAGCCTCTGCAGAAGGAGGAGGAGGAGGTGGAGGAGGAGGAGCTTCAACCACTGCTGTAGCAGCACCGCCCCCGCCGCGAGAGCCCTCCCAGGTGTCCTCGGCAAAGTCAAAGACCGAAGTGGTCGTCACGGCTCCGCCCTCCAGCATGACCACACTGGCCGCCCCCGAGGTGGCCTGTCCTCGGCTGGGCTCCCAATCGCAGCTGGCAGTCCAGGCGAAGGAGGTCCGCACCACCGGCTACACTGAAGAGGAGCTGGAGGCCTTTGCCGGGCATCTGCGTGCCGGTTTTGGCGAGGCGCCGGCGGCCGCCTCGGTGGCTGTCACAGCGGCCGCCGAGGGCCGTGACCTCCTCCTGGAGGGCTCCTTTGAGCAGGGGCTGAACGAGGCGGACCGGGTGGCGCTGGCGTTGACCGCTCGCGACGGCCCCGACTCCTACAAGAGCATTCTTCAGCCGACGGTTGGCTATGCCGTTCGATGCCAGCACGGGCGGATGGCGCTGATGAAGGTGGGCGGGGTCGGAGGAGGCGGAGGAGGTGGTTTTCTCTGGCTGCCCTACGTTCACTTTGAGAGCGGCAAGTTCGTGGAGGGCGCCACTCGCCACCTGGCTCCGCTCTTTGTGGCGGAGTTTAAGGAGGTCGATAGCGGAACTCAGCTTCCAACAGCAACAGCGACTGCTGAGAAGACCTCAGAAGCTCAAAAGTCCGAGTCTTCAAAGTCCACATCACTACCAGCGACCAGCCACAGTGAGCCAGTGTACGGCAGCTTTCTGCGCGACCACTCCCTCTTCAGCATCTACCGCTACCAGATTCCAGACGGGCAGTTCATCTCGCGGTACATCTTCACCGCCAAGTGGGAGGTAGTGGCACAGGCGAAGAAGACTGAAGAAGGCAACCAGTCAACAACAACAACAACAAAGGAGGCGCCGAAGAAGACCCAGGCCGCCGTCACGCTGCTGTCCTGCTGCACCGACACGCCCCACATCAGCTGGGTCCCAGTTGAAGAAGTGCTGAAGCAGGCAGAGGCAGGGGCTGGGCCCCTCTTTGACCGTCTTTGGGGCTACGAGGTGGTCGTCCTGGCGGAGGTGCTCCAGAAGCAGATCGCCGATGAAGCAGCGGCAGGACAACCGGGGGCAGCGGCTATTTCAACGCCCACTGCTCCCCAGATTCAGGAGTTCACCAGCGGTGAGGTGTTGCGCTTTGTGCCCCGTCCGCCGCCACCAACTTCTTCTTCAGCGAATGGAACTTCTTCGACTTCTCCAAGCACGCCAACTTCTCGAAGCGGCCTCATCCACGCCGCCTACACCGCCCTCCTCGCCGAGGCCAAGTTCACGGAGAAGGACATTGTGAAGGTGTACGGCGACTACGTGCAGCACTGTCACCCCTCCTCCTCGATGACCGCCGCCGCCTTTGCCGACTACCTCGGCCGCAAGTTGGGCTTTCGCCAGGTGGACGAGAGCACCATGAAGGCGCTCTTTCGCACCTTCAACTTTGCCGGCGGTGTGGCCTCAAGGAAGATCAAGAAGAGCAAGGCGCACTACCTCCTCTTTAGCGAGTTCCTTCTCGGCCTGGCCGTTCTGGAGCCGGTCCCCTTGAGCGTCTCCAAGATCCGCCTCGGGTACGTCTTTCGCTTCTACGACCGCAACGAGGACGGCATGCTCGATGTGGGCGGCGAGTTTCGCCGACTGGTGGCCGACTTGCGCTCTGGAAAGGTAGCCGCTTCAGACCAGCAGTTGGCCAGCTCTACAGCAAGCCCAGAACTGGAGGCGGACATTCGGGCCCGAATGACAGCGCTGAAGGTGGTGGCCAGCACCGAAGGTCAAACAGATGATCAGCAGCAGCCGGTTACCTTTGCCCGCTTCCTCGCCAACGGCTACCAAATGGACGAAATTGCAAAGAGTGGCGGCTGCAGTGGCGTCCACCTCCACCAGCTGCTGACTACGCCGGGAAAGGTGTCCATTCGCGAGGCCGTGCACACTCGCCACGCCTACGAGGCAATTCGCAGCGGCAAGGCGCCCCTGAACGGCATCCTCGCCAGCAGCAGCACCAACCAGGCGACGGCCGTCCTCAAGCCGCCCTTCGCCCCCCGCCTGGTGGCCAGCTGCGTCAAGTGCCGTCCGAAGAAGTACGCCCTCGCCTACCACACTGTCCGCGTGCCAAGTGGCTTCACCACCGTCCGCGCCGACGACCCGCGCGACCTCTCGCCCACCTTCAGCGGCGGCAACGGCGAATCGGAGGCGGCCATCGCCGCCGCCAAGCGCCACTTTGCCGCCCAGTCGGACCGCTTCGAGGTGGCCCACAGCACCGAGGTGGTCTTCAACGGCATGTCCGTGGCGAACCGCGTCCTGGCGGCCGTCCGCAAGCTGGCCGGCTTCAATCGGGTCAGTCGGGAGCGGCAGAAGGAGATGACGCAATCGGTGACGCGCGAGCTGACGCCCGCCCTCATCGTCGCCCTCTGCAAGGCCGTCACGGAGATTGTCAGCGTGGAGCCGCGCGTGCTGAAGGTGCCGACGCCGTGCTTTGTCATCGGCGACACGCACGGCAACATCCACGACGTGCTCACCTACGAGGCGCAGCTGTGGCCGCTGGCGCCGGCCGTCCTTCCCGTCAGCTACCTCTTTCTGGGCGACTACGTGGACCGCGGCGACCACGGCATCGAGGTGATCAGCTACCTCTTCGCGATGAAGGTCCTGGCGCCGACCAAGTTTCTGCTGCTGCGCGGCAACCACGAGATTCGCGCCATCCAGCGCAACTTTACCTTCTTCAAGGAGTGCATGATCAAGTGAGTAGACTGGTGGTTTTGTTTTCCTTTTTTAACATTATCACTTCTTTCACTAGGTACCCGTACAAGGACGGGCAGATGGTCTTTGACGCCTTCAACAGCGCCTTTGACCACCTGCCGCTGGTAGGCATCATCGACGAGCAGATCTTCTGCGCCCACGGCGGAATTCCCTACTCGGTGGCGCGCGTCGAGGAGCTCTACAAGATACCGATGCCGCTGGCCGACCCGGAGAACCAGTCGAAGCCTGCTTGGGAGGTAGGGGATTGCTGGTTTATTACCACCTTTTCTAAATCTCTTCTTGACACCCTTCTTCTTCTTTTTCTTCTTCAGATCCTCTGGTCAGACCCGATCACCGACGATGAGTACCGCGAGGTGTGCCAGTTCCACAACACGCCCGGCGACACCGGCTTCACCGACAACCTCCGCCGCAGCACCGCCTTCTACTTCACGGAGAAGGCACTGCGCAATTTCCTCAAGGCAAACGGCCTCTCCCATGTGATTCGCGCCCACGAGCTGGAGATGGACGGCTACCGCTTCCACCACTCGGGCCTCCTGCTGACGGTCTTCAGCAGCAGTCGCTACTGCCACTCCCTCAACCGCTCCAGCTGCATCTTTGTGGACACTCGCGGCGACGCGGCCGGCTTCCTCAAAGTCGTCTCGCTGGACACTTAGTCGGTGGTGGAGATGGTGGTGGAGCNCCGCCTTCTACTTCACGGAGAAGGCACTGCGCAATTTCCTCAAGGCAAACGGCCTCTCCCATGTGATTCGCGCCCACGAGCTGGAGATGGACGGCTACCGCTTCCACCACTCGGGCCTCCTGCTGACGGTCTTCAGCAGCAGTCGCTACTGCCACTCCCTCAACCGCTCCAGCTGCATCTTTGTGGACACTCGCGGCGACGCGGCCGGCTTCCTCAAAGTCGTCTCGCTGGACACTTAGTCGGTGGTGGAGATGGTGGTGGAGCTGGTCCCTTGGGCAATTTATTTGTTTGTATTCTTATTCTCATTCTTATTGTTAGTTCTTTTGTGAATGTCACATTGAGGAGAAGGAGGAGATGTTTTTCCATTTGGAGATCGTTTTTCGAAATCTTCAAACTGTGATTGAATTTTCCGTTCATCGATTGCCAGTGCACTGCTCTCCCAGCCAATCGATAGCCGCGAATTGTTTGCGATTGTTTTTTCTTCAAAAAAAAACAAAAAAAATGTGGTGCAGTGTTTTGCTTCGGCGACGGCAACGGTCACAGTTCAATATTCTGTCCTCGACGACGACCTCTTATCTTTGTTGTTTTACCTCAAACTGCCACCACCTACTGGATCACTTTGTGGTGCAAAAAACCAGTGAAAAAGACCAGGCGATGCCACCAAAGCGAAAACCAGCCGCACATAAGAAGGCGACTTCAGCGACGAGCAGCAACAAGCGCCGCAAAACCGAATCCGATGAGAATGCCGAAGTGGCGGGCACCGGAGACGAGGAACAACAACAACAGCAGCAGCAGAAGCAGGAGAACAGCCAGAGTGAAAACAACCTGATGGGAACTGTGGACAAGAGCCAGGTGAGGGCGGCGCCGAACGGGGCGGACTGCAATTTGAAAATCGCCAGCTGGAACGTGGCCGGCATCCGCGCCGTCCTCAAGAAGGCCGTCCTGCTGGAGTACCTGCGCGCCGAGGACGCCGACATTGTCTGTCTGCAGGAGACGAAGTGCGCCCGGAAGGACCTGCCTGGTGAGTTGGCCAATCTGAAGCAGTACCCCTTCAAGTACTACCACGACTCGACGAAGACGGCCGGCTACGCCGGGGTGGCCCTGCTCAGCAAGCGAAAGCCACTCTCGGTGGAGTACGGCCTCTCGGTGGCGGAGTACGACGTGGAGGGGCGGATGATCACCGCCACCTACGAGGACTTCATCCTCGTCAACGCCTACATTCCCAACGCCGGCCGCGGCCTGGTCCGCCTTGACTACCGAATGCGCTGGGATGAGGACCTCCGTCGGCATCTGAATCAGCTGGAGGCGAACAGCGGCGGCAAGCCGGTCATCCTCACCGGTGACCTCAATGTCGCCCACACGGAGATCGACCTGGCGAACCCGAAGACGAACACAAAGACGGCCGGCTTCACGCCGGAGGAGCGGGCGAGCTTCAGCAAGACGCTGGAGGGCGGCGGCGGCTTCATCGACAGCTTCCGCTTCCTCTACCCCGAGCTGAAGCACCAGTACACCTTCTGGTCGTACATGCGGGCGTCTCGCTCGAAGAACGTCGGCTGGCGCCTCGACTACTTTGTCCTCTCGCGGCGGCTGGCGGACGCCCTCTGCGACAGTCAGATTCGCAGCCAGGTGATGGGCAGCGACCACTGTCCGGTGGTGCTCTACCTGGCACTGCCTAGTTCATTGCCAGTGCAGTAGATGAGCATGGTGGCGTTGCAACTAACGATGTGTGTTATGATCGGATGTGATAACAATAAAAGCGGATCGGAATTATCATGTTATCACCTTCCTTTTCACCTCATTGACGAGTACCACCACCACCACCACCAACGGCATCAACACAAACACACACACCTTTGCGCGCGCTTTCTGGCGATATGAGCAAGGGGCGCTATCCCTTGTGTATACCTTCGCCTGCACTTGATCCTCGACGAGCATTCAGCGACTACTGCCGCAGAGGAGGATTGCAGTGAGCATGAGCAGTCGGACTGAGGCTGCCTGCCAGGCTGGTGGTAGCGGCAAAGGCAGCTGGTGCAGTCAGTGCCAGCCGCCCCAGCGTGGCAGCAGCCGAGGAGTGGCACAGTCGCTGAAGGGGCAGGCCAAGATGGAGGATCCTGCTCTGATCGCCCGCCGCCAGCCGCCCGCCCGCCAGTCTGTAACCTCCTCCCGCCAAACAGCGTTTTGCTACAAGCTTATTACTTACTCGACTGGCGACGGCGGGGGGATCACGTGCGGGGAGGCCACTGCTCGTGCACTCTGCCTCTATCTTTCCATCTTTCCAGGCGGGCAGCCAGCCAGCCCCGCCATCACACGTTACTTCTACGACGGCGGCGCTGCGTGCTGCCGCGTTGCAAAGGAAAAGAGAGGCAGAAGCAGCAGCAGCTATTTTTCTCGCGTTGTTGTGTGTTTTTTGCTCTCCCTCTCTCTCGTTTTCTCTCGCACTCACACAACTTCCCCGCTGCTAGTGCTGCTGCTGCTGCTGACTCTTCTCATCTCGGCAGTGTTTCACATTCTCCGCCAGCCATCATAGTCGCCAGCGCCATCAGGATCTGCTGCTGCTCTTGGTACTGCCTGCACCGGATTCGCGGATTCTAACGACGACGACGCCGCCATTTCCACCATTACCGACATCATCACCACCTCCTCCCTCTTTGGTTTGAGAAGAAAGAACGGCGGCCTGCTTCGACGTGTTCCATTTCCCGCCTGAACGACCGAGTCCTCTGCGACGGGGGCCTAACGACCTCGCAACGACAGTGGCGGCCGATCACCGAGATTACCAGCCCAGAAGAAGACACCATTCAATTGCCCTTCTCTGCCACCAAAAAGGCTGAATGTTGCAGTCGAAGGTAGAGGTGAGTGGCTGCTTTTATTTACAGTAGAAATACTAAGTCGTTGTGCTGTGTTCTATTTCTCCCCTCTCTAGTTTTCTTCCTCTTCCACCACCAATCCCCACCAACACACTGCTTCAGCAGCATTCTGGCTCCATTACCCGGTTCATGTTCTCTCTCACATCACCACGACCACAGCTAATGGCGACGAATTTAAATCACAACAGTAGTAGCAACGAGATAAAAGCGTTGACGGTGCACAGCCTCAACAACAACAAGGCAGCCAATGGACCCACAAAGACGATTCTGCCTGGCGGCTCGGCCACCGCCGCCGCCATTGTCGCCCAGCCTAAGATGATCAGCATCACCGCCGCCAACAACAACAGCAACAGCAGCAATAACAGCAACGCCTCCTCCAATGCCGCCCCCTCAAACAGCTACCCCAGGTTCGGCATCCTCGGCACCACCAGCGTCGGCGCCGGAGGGGTGGCCAAGCCTGCGGGCATCATCAACCTCAGCAATGCCTCACTCCCGAAGAGCTTCATCTTGACGAACCCCGGCGGCGGCGGAGGCCACTCCGGGGCGGTCAATCTGGTGAACATTAGCACGACCAGCGCCAACAACCACTTCGCCACGACGTTGCCCGCAGGCGCCGGCCAGGCGACCAAGATCTTCGTCACGCCGAGCCACATCATCAACTCGCGCACAGTGGCCGGCTCCTCGACGACGACCGCCGCCAACTTTGGCATCGTCGCCTCGCCCGGCGGCCAGGCGACGAAGATCTACGTCACGCCGAACCACCAGATCATCGCGAACAGCGCTCGGCCGATCAGCACCACCTCGACGCCCTCCATCAACAGCTTCACCGTGCCCGGTCACAATAACCAGGCGACAAAGGTGTGCATCACGCCCAGTGCGCTGCTCAATCCGCGCACGGTGATGTCCTCTTCAATCGGCGGCGCGGCAGCGGCGGCCTCCTCGTCGCCCTTTCACGGCAACCTCTCGGCGAAGATTTGCGTGACGCCGGCGAGCATCATTGCCGCGGCCGCCGCTTCAGGCGGCGCTCGGTCAATCAACACGTCCTCCTCCTCGTCCAGCTCTGTCGTCGGGACGCCGCCCACTGCGACCAACTTTAACGCCGTTCTCACCGCTCAGTCAGCCACTGCTCCTCCTGGTGGAGGGGCCAAGGGCAGCATCTTCACGCCCGGCATCATCACGGCCAGTCCGGCAAGGCTGCTGCATCACCCTGGAGCAGGGGGCGGCGGCGGCTCTTCAACGACGGCCATGACGGTGACCAACCTGAGCATGCCCGGTCAGCCGACCAAGATGCTCCTAACGCCCAGTCTCAGCATCAGCACGAGCGGTGGTGGTGGTGGCCAGATCAGGCCGCTGATGGTGGCCACGACGACGAGTATAGCGCCCAACTTTAGCGTTTCGAATTCGGCTGCCGCAGCTGCTGTGGTGGCTGCTCACGCGGCGGCGGCGGCAGCAGGGGTGACCGAGGCGGCGACGATCACGCCGAATCACATTGCAGTGGTAGCAGCAGCAGCACCAGGAGGCAGTCATCATCATCTGGTGACGGCAACGACGACGCCGGCCACCATCTCCGTATCACTCACTCCATCACAACATCAGCAGCAACAACAACAACATCAGCAACATCAGCAGCAGCAGGCATCCACCGCTGCTCACCACAACAGCCATCCTCAGCTTCATCCACATCAGCAGCAGCACCATCAGCTGAATAATCACCAGCTGCCTGTGTCCCTGTCGTCTTCCTCTTCAGCAGCAGCAGCAGCTTCATCTGCTTCATCTGTGGTGTTTCCTAGCGGAGGCATTTTCGGAGCGGATGCCTCTAAGCTGCTGTCCAACTGCTGGAATAGACCCAAAACGTCTGCTGACCAACTGCTGGAGCAGTCTCACGGCGTCAGTGNCCATCAGCTGAATAATCACCAGCTGCCTGTGTCCCTGTCGTCTTCCTCTTCAGCAGCAGCAGCAGCTTCATCTGCTTCATCTGTGGTGTTTCCTAGCGGAGGCATTTTCGGAGCGGATGCCTCTAAACTGCTGTCCAACTGCTGGAATAGACCCAAAACGTCTGCTGACCAACTGCTGGAGCAGTCTCACGGCGGTAGTAGCCATGTGATTGAATCTAGCATTCCTCCCGCGAGGAAAAAGCCCAGGAAGCAATCACTTGAGCCGAGAAGAGATCTCAATGAGCAGAAGCAGCAGCAGCAGGAGCAACAACGGAGGCAACAACAACTGCAAATTCAGGCGCAGATTCAGCAGCAGCAACAACAACATCAACAAAAACATCAGGCACAACAGCCATCATCGCAAGTTCACCAGCAAATACAGCTTCAGCAGCATCAGCAACTACAGCAACAAATACAAATACACCATCTGCAGCAGCTGCAACAGCCACCACCACCACCACCACTACCATCGTCATCACATCTCGCCCCTTCTGTACAGCAACTTCCGGGCGGCCTCAGAAAAGAAAGCCACCAGCTGCAGCCCCTCCCTCATCCTCTTCCGCCTCCCCTTCAACAGCAGCACTTTCATCGCTTTGACCTTGAGGAGGAGGACGAGGAGAAGCCCGAGACGGTGGTCTACCTGAAGAGGCCTCGGCTGAAGCTGCGCGACACGCCCAGCTTTCTCACCAAGTCCGCCTCGCACCCGCTGCACTTTGTCCAGCACGGCGACGTGAAGCCGAAGACGGAGAAGAAGGTGCTGATCAATGAGCTGTTTGCCGACGTGGAGCGGCCGCAGCTCGCCTGGAAGGTGAACCGCATCGCCGAGCAGCTGCAGCAGTCGCTCGACGACGAGAAGGAGATGGTGACCAGCACGCTGACCAACTTTCTGGAGGTCTTCGAGCGGGACATCTGTCCGTTCAGCAAGGTGGCCGCCACGCAGACGCTCACCTGCAACCCGCTGGCGGACAATGTCAGCCTGGTGGACCGCGTCTGCGTGAAGATCAACGACATGACGCGGGGCAGCCTGCAGCGCTCCAACCTCAGCTGTGACCTCTTCAAGGACTCGAAGCAGCTGCTGCTGAAGATGTCCACCGAGCACAAGGACAAGATCGCCCTCCTCAAGAGTCGCATGGGCGGCAGTAGTAAGCGAAGCTGCGTCAAGCAGTAGCAGTAGCTGAAGGGCGCAGTCGCCCCCCTCCCCTGTATTGTACATAGCCCCGTCGTTCTTGACTTGACGACGACGACCACCAAGAAGAAATCATAACCTTTACCTCGCTCCCCTTTTACCCTATCTTTTCTCCTTCTCCTTGCCCCCCCACACCCAACCCTGAAATGATGCAATCTTTATTTACTCTCTACCATTCGACTTGAACCCCACTCATCCATTGCCTCTCTTCACTCTTGCATTCTTATTATTACATTATAATTATAATACCTGCTCTGACTCATTTAAATCACTGCTTCCTTTTCCCCATCATCATCACCATCACCATCATCAAATCTTTTTTCTTAAATCTCACTCTGTGCTCTATTTTACCCTGTACATTACACTGTTACTTTTCCGAAAATTCTCACTTTGCTTCCTCCTTTTTCTCTGTTCTAGATGGGAAAACTGATGAAAGATTGACTATTTTTCCTCCTTTTGGTGAGGTTCTTTTAATTTTGATGTTCCTCTCTCTCTCTCTTCTCAACCACCCCCATGTTACTGTTGTTGACAAAGAGTGCTCTTCCGGTATAATAAAACAAACGAGAGTTCTATTTACTTTTTTACCGTTTGTTTTCGCGTTTCCTTTTTCAATCCACTGAGTTTCTCTCTCAGTTTCTGAAGCGCAGGAATCGTTCTGGAAACGTCTTCTACGAACGGTCGGCGCCGGCAACCAGAAAATGTGCGTTTGTTTTGATTCTTTTTTGCTTCATTTTTTTGTACGCCAGTTCTATTTTTCTGGTTCTTTTGTTCTCAGGTACTTTCCTTCATCAAGAACATGATTAATCAACCAAAAAGCGGATTGACAACAAGAGAACAGGTGGATGCAACGCTGCTGCAGTTGAAGAGCTGGACTGCAGACGAAACGCCGATGTCTGAAGAGAAAGTGGATCTGCTCTTCGAGAATTCCATTCAGCTGCTGAACTACTGCATCAACAAGGACAGGCTGCCTGAAGATGAAGTGATCTTTGCCGAACTGTTGGCCTGCTTGAGAAGTGCATTTGGTCGTGCTGGTGAAAAGGAGAATGTTGCTCGACTTTTGCTGACCGGTGTCCAAAAGGATGACTTTCTTAGCAAGCTTGTGGNTTTGTTCTCAGGTACTTTCCTTCATCAAGAACATGATTAATCAACCAAAAAGCGGATTGACAACAAGAGAACAGGTGGATGCAACGCTGCTGCAGTTGAAGAGCTGGACTGCAGACGAAACGCCGATGTCTGAAGAGAAAGTGGATCTGCTCTTCGAGAATTCCATTCAGCTGCTGAACTACTGCATCAACAAGGACAGGCTGCCTGAAGATGAAGTGATCTTTGCCGAACTGTTGGCCTGCTTGAGAAGTGCATTTGGTCGTGCTGGTGAAAAGGAGAATGTTGCTCGACTTTTGCTGACCGGTGTCCAAAAGGATGACTTTCTTAGCAAGCTTGTGGCCTCCTTTCAAATCCTCCTGCGAGAGAACTCGAATGTTTCACCAAGCTCCGCAAGGATACTGCTGCGACTGGCACAGGTTTTTACCAACATCTTAACACTACACTATTCAACTGCAAGTAATATGGACTACATTGAGAACAGCTGTTTGCCGCTCTTTGACGTGGACACTCTATCGTAAGTGATTTTGTAAGCTTTTACGATTCATTAGCTAATTGTTTGCTTTTTATAGATTTGTTTTTAGTTTACCACAAACTTGCTCTGACAGCTCAACAGAAGTCAGAGAGCTTTGTTCAAAACTGCTCTATGCTTTCACCGCTCTCATGCACATCAACTTGTTGAACAGTGAGCGAATAAGAGAGATTCTGACGATTCCTCAACTGAATCTCATTTGGGAACGTCAACTCATACAGTGCCAAAATGACCAGTCTGAATTTTCTCTTCTATCATTCTTTATCGCTTTAAAGAAAGAGCACTTTTTTCGGTCACTCTACAGATTCATTTCAACCACTAGCAGTCGACTTCTTTTGCTCGACATTGTCTGGGAATCAATTCAGAACGGAGAAGACACAAGTACGGCCGCACTAAGAAGCTGGGATTGTGCTCAATCCCCGGAAGAGTACCTGAAAATGAAATCACACTCAAAGCGGGTCCTCTCAGATGATGGAGTGCTCTTTCTTGTGGAGGCCTTTCAAGAGGAGATTGATAGTCTCTTATCAGTGCCAACCAGCGGCAACGTGGACGCCAACTTTGATGAGGAACAGATCCGCCTGCTCTGTCAGCAAAGCTCTCTCCTTCTCAACTTGTCATCAAGTGAACCGTACAGCGAACTGATCAGACAACATTCCCAAAATCTGATAGCGGCACTAGTGAAACTGCTAAAGAGTCTTCAACTGTGGAGCCGAAACAATCCCGACTCGGTGTTTGCCTTTCGAGGGCGGCTGAAAGACGTCGACTTGAACGCTGAATCGTCATCGAATCCCGCCTACGGCTTCAAGCGAGACACCATCGGTCTGATTGCCAACATCATCTGCCGCAATCGAGCCGCCCAGGACTACCTGCGCACCTCAGATGGCCTGGCGGCGCTTTTGGACTGCGCCAAAATTGACGCCCGCAACCCGTTCATTCTGCAGTGGTCCATCTTTGCGATTCACAATGCACTGGAGTGCAATGAGGAGAACCAGCAGTACGTGGCGCAGATGAAGAACCAGGGCGTCCTTCAGGATGATGAACTAGTCGACCGGATACAGAAAGACCGTCAGCCCAGAAAGCCTTCAGAGGATGAGCTCTGAGGGTGATGCGTTGCACACTGATAGTGCTCGCACATCCATCAGTGGTAAGTAGTAGGCGAATGTACAGCCCTTCACACTGCGGATTAGCGAGAGGGAGAGAATCTGTCGGCGACTTACTGTCTTCTAAAGTATTCACTTCACAGTGTTCTCCCAGCTCACCCACAGTTTGCAGGCGAGCCAATTCTTCATTCTTTTCACTCTTCCTCTTCTTCTTCTTCTTCCACTTCTACGATCACTATGACATTCTTCCGACGCATTCAGCAGCAGCAGCAGCAGTTGACTTGGCAGACAGTTGCTTGCGCTGATCGCCATCGAATGACTGCACCAACACACACACAGACAAACACCAACACAGATTGCCAGTTGCCTACTGTTCAGTCAATCAGTAGTGGCACTTTGGGTGTTTGGTTGCAGCAGCAGCAGTTGAACAGAGTTCTTGTTCTCCACCTAAAAATAGCCTTTTTATGCACTGTCTGTCTGTCGGTGTGTGTAATAGAGTGAAAGAACCACCACTCAAATGCTGCAGATGCTGCTGCAGCGAAGAATCGCTTCTTTTTCTTGCTGCTTCCATTCTATCGTCTGTTCGAAGGCAGTTTCAGTACTTCTTTTTCGCCAGCAGCAGCAGCATCTTTGCCAGTCGATGATTGCTTTTTTATTATTCCCATTCTCTCCTCTGAGCTGCATGCTGTCAATGTCGTGAAGAGTACACGAAGCCATTGGCGGTGATATGTGCCTGAGAAGGCGAAGACGACGACGACGACAAAGTCTGTAGCTGTGTATGAAGCCCACTTTGGAAGCAGCAGTATTATAAACACCTTTCATTTTTTAGTCCCTATCACTTATCATTTCACTCACCACCATGAACTACGTGGACATTTACCTGTACTCCTTTGTCGCCCTCTTCATTCTCCTCTACTGCAGCTTCCTGACCATCATCCTCGTTGTCTTTGTCTCCCAGAGCGGCAGCAACAGCAGCAGGATCACCAGAAGATAACATTTTGTCTTTGTAACTGATCACCTGCACAAACAGTAAAAGTTAACAGTAAAAGTTCGACAACTTGAAAGTTCCAATTGTGTGCGTGTTGCCTGCTTGCGTTTTTCCCATAAAGCGTCAGAATGATGCTCACATTGTGTCATTTTTGCTTTCGTTGTTTTCGGTGTTGCTCTATTGCTACTTGTTTACTNCAGCTTCCTGACCATCATCCTCGTTGTCTTTGTCTCCCAGAGCGGCAGCAACAGCAGCAGGATCACCAGAAGATAACATTTTGTCTTTGTAACTGATCACCTGCACAAACAGTAAAAGTTAACAGTAAAAGTTCGACAACTTGAAAGTTCCAATTGTGTGCGTGTTGCCTGCTTGCGTTTTTCCCATAAAGCGTCAGAATGATGCTCACATTGTGTCATTTTTGCTTTCGTTGTTTTCGGTGTTGCTCTATTGCTACTTGTTTACTAATACCTTCTAGTCCATCACTTGAACGTCGTCACAATGAACGGAAAACTCTGCCTACTTTTGGTACTACTGTGCTTCTACTTACACTTCCAAGTATCTGAACTTACCATTTTTCTTTTCTCTTTCTTCAGATCTCTTTGGCCTGGTCGATGGCCAGTGGAAAGAGCGAGTGGGAACAGCCCTCGACTACTCCTCGCTCCATCAGCTCGGCGCTGGCCCTAGACGACGAGTACCTGCTGCTCTTCACCTCGGACGGCTTTGTGGTGAGCAGTGACGTCAGCACCTGGTGCCGCTCTGACGTCTGTCCAGTGGTCGCCGAGAAGATTAAAGTGGGTGAGAAGGAGGAGAAGCAAAAAAATAAGGCCACTGGCAATGGGCACCAGCAGCATCAGCCCAACATCACCGCCCTGTCCGATCTCTGGAACGGCACTCGAGTGCTCGGACTGAAGCGCGTGGACGCCAGTGCTCTGCTGCAGAGCGTCGCCTTCAAATCGACGGTGGTGGACTACCTCTTGCTCATTCAGCAGGTATGGGCAGAAACTAGAGCTCAATTCGATATGCTGTATGCCACGTTGTCTTAACGCACTTCTTTGCACGAGAACAGGAGCCACCAAATTCGGCGGCTGTCAGTGAGGCCGCCGCCGCCGACAGTGAGGACGACCTGGAGTACCTGGTGGTGCAGCTGCCCTCTCGACGCATCGTCTCCTTCGGCAATGGCCTCTCCCTCTTTGGCCACTTCTGGAACTCGGTGCCCTGTCTGGCGAACATTGTCGACATCATCGACGGCGGCGGAGGCGGCAGCGGCCACAACTCCTCCCTCTCAGAGACCTTTGACAGCAGCCCCACCTCCACCACCACCACCACCTACATCATCTGCCGTGAGTCGGTGTACGGCAGCCTGACGCTGGTGCAGGCCACCCTCGACCTGCATCGCTTTCACTACAGCAGCCTCCAGCTGGTGGCCAACAGTGAGAGTGGTGGCCGTCAGAAGAACTTTGCCTCTTCGGCCACCTCTGCACTTGAGCGCGCACTCTTTGCCTTCATGAAGTCTTCCAGTGTTGCTTTGTCTCCAAACATCACCACCTTGAGCTTGACTCTGCTCAATGACGGCTCTGATCGCTTGCTCGTCTTTGAGTCCAGTCAGGAGGACAGCACCACCTCCACCAACATGAGCCTTCTCAACAGCACCGGTCATCGAGTCTGGTCGGGCCCGCTGGAGACGGTGGTCAAGATGCCGCCCACCACTGCCCACCTTGTCATCGACTCTAATGAGCGCACCAATGGCAGCAACAGCAGCAACGGAAAGGTTTTTAAAGGTAGATACGAGCAACTCCCGTGTGTACTTTTCAAGCAGCCTTTCTCATTCATTTCTTTCTTCTAGACACTGCCTTTGAGTGGGCGCAGTTCGCCCTCATTCTCTACACCTTTGCCTTCCTCCTGGGCACCTTTCACCTGCTGCTGGTGGGCACTGAGACGCTCTCCGACTACCTCCACGAGGGCAACAGTCTCTTCGAGTGGAAGAAGTGCGAACCGGTGTGGATGAGCAAGTACGAGCCGCCTATTCAGTTCTGATTGGGCACACTGTGTGCCTTCTCAGCTGCTGTTTTTGAGGCTAAAACGATTAAAATTTCAAAGTTAGGTTGAGTGTTTGGCTCTAAAGAACATTTTTGGAACTTCCGAGAAAGAGGCCCAGTAAGGAAACCGAAAGACAGCTGTGAAGCTTTAATTGGAGTTTGTGAAAATGCATTCCATCACCATCATCATCATCATCATCAGCTGATATTACATCAAGTGAAAAGGAAATGGGGTGCGACACACAGACAAATAAATCATTCACCGGCTGTTTGTTGTTGATTGGTGTTTGTGTTTGGTGTTGTTGGTCTCTTCTGCGGTGTGTTGTTCTC